TTTTTGGTCGTACGCCGGCGCTCCCAACTTCCAACTTTCTCCACTACTCCGGCTTTTCATTGTGAACAACGAGGGCATTATAACACAAGAAATAACACAAAACAACCACCAGCAACGACTAACTTCCTTGTTTCTCTTCGTCCAGGTTTCCCCTCGCCCTGCTGGACGGACATTGAGAAGGAAGAAAGAAAATTCGAATCTCCAGACCCACAAAGCTGTACAAGTCGGCCAGACGTACGTACGTATCCAAGTACGTAGCGTAAGTACGTACGAAGGCATGTGGCAGTGCCTGGGTTTACATTTTACGGTTTACATTTTATACTTTGTTGTGTTGTGGAGGAGCCAAAGGCCGTAATGCAACTACGTCGAATATAATGGTTTGTGTGGAGAGATGGAATACTGCCTCCAACCAATTTCATTCATAATGGGTTCCTCCATAAGTGATGCAAGAGAAAGTATGACTGGTTGTTGGACCCTTTGTTCGCACTCCACGGAGAACAACATGGGTGTTGCATGGGCTTTTTTAGCAGGACAAGTGCAGGCAGACAGACAGTCAGACCAGACGGGAAAGTAAGATTTCAGCGGAGGATGTGCAGCTTTGAATTTGAAGTGGAGCAATTCGGACTATATGACCTCTACCACCGAGGATGTGGACCGTGGATGTCATACATTATGCATTCTATTACGTGGAACATGAGAAACTCTCCCAAAACGCAGAACGACCTGACTCAAAGAAATATTCACCCTGGAATGAAACTGGGGCTATAACGCATAAAACGAATTTCTTATCTCCGTCCGAGAATCATCTTCACATTCGCACATCCAACACCAACCGTTTGAACCCTTTGATGCCACATGCACGCCGTCCTTTTCTTGCCAGGAAATGCAAACGATTTCAAATTTCAGGCCTCCCCGCATTCGAACCAAGTGGTGAAATATACGACGGGTGCCAATGCGAGGGAAGAAGTATATTCATCGTCTCCTTGTCCTGTACACAGCTTCAGTCGTGGTATATGCATATTCAGCCAGTGAGGTGAGATAATAAGGAGATGAGGACAGAGCTGGTAAGTCGCACGTAAGGAGAGGCGAGGAGAAAGGTGCATAAAGCAGAAGAGGCGAGGGAGGCTTCGCAATAAGCCGAGCGTGCCCTGTCTGCACAAATACAATCCAAAATCCATTAAACATAAAACAAAAATATTTCATCCTTAAACTACCTTCGCCGAAGCGGTTCCAAATGGGCTGACACCTTTCTTGCACACTTAGGGCCTCACTTTGTCTTGTTTACAATCGCCGAATTTACGAGGCGATACAATTGATAGGAAATCTCTAGTTTCTCTCAAACAACATTCAACACCACCACCACCACTCTGGCGATGGCTCTCTTTGCTATGTATGTACTGCTTTGGTCTAAGACTGGATAATTTATCCCCCATTCTTGCCCGTGATGGGGAGTAGGTACGGCCAAGGGTGGTGATACATACATACATAATGCAGGAGGAAGGGAGTGATCCATACCAATTTATGAATTTTATGGCCCTTTCTCTACTTTTTGTTGTCGTCGTGTAGTTGAGCTTGTATCATGAATAAGAAAATGATTATTTCCCAAAAATGTCATGGCGGGTTGGACTGGGGCCTGGAAGAAATGAATTCGGAGCCAGTCACTCAAGTCACATCAACATCACTCTTCCTCCCTGTCAACTGGCTTTATTGTCCATGAATTCATCCATTTATTTTATTACACAAACATTGCACACCGACACCGAGTCACTCTCACAGGAAAGTCAACTGTGGGTGGAACGTGGGCATGTAGTCTGTCATTTTCTTTTCGCCTCATCCCCACCCCACGACATGCACTCCTTCCAGAAAATGGCACAACCACCGACACTCCTCTTCCCCCAGTCTGCTCACTCCCAAACTTTGGCTTTCTCCACACATGACACTTACGTATGTAGCCTGTGCCCATTATGCAGGATGCAAATGTATGCAAATACACATACCTCTCGTTCTCAGTCCTGGTATTAGTGTTTGTTGAATGGAGTGGACATTTACACGCCACAACGACACCCTGATCCATCCAAGCTAGGCAGAATCCTCCTCAAAAGTCACACAACTTTTTATAGGCAGTGCATGTATGAAATTTGAATTTTTAATTTCCCTGCTAAACGACCCGTTGACACTTGAGCACTTCCTGACTTTCCGCATAAATAAATAAATAAATAAATGCAAAACATAAAAATGGGGCTGTGACACATATGAATTTTTGTTTGCAATTCTATGGCTGTTCTGCTTAATCGCTTGCAACATTATTTATACATGAGCGAGGAGGGAAAGTCGAGAACAGTTTCGGAATCTCGAGGTTTCCTGTTTTTCGACCAAGTTTGATTTTTTTCAAAGTTTCGCCTTCCATGTTTTTTTTCTTCTCTCGTTCTCCTCGTGTTTTGAATCCCTGGAGTTATCACCACATGCACGGGGCATGGATGAGAGGAGGACGCGTGTGGAAATATAACGACCTGCTGTCAATTTGTGGAGCTAAGAGACGTAACAATGGGAGTGGGTGTGAAAGGAGGACGAATTAGATTTACTGTTCCGATCCGAGTCTTTAATTAGAGAGGGAAATGGGGGAGTTTTAGGCAACCTTTCACCACCACCATCTCATCATCAACCTTAATCTGCCACACTCCAGTCCACGTGAATGAAATGAACTCGCACCAATTTATCCATGGACAAAGGAGACACTTTATAATAATTGCATCCCATTTGCCACTTCTGCCTCACGAAATCCATCCACCGGGCGATACCACGATCCACATAAATACACCATAGAGTTTCCATTAAAACTGCTTATTCCTTCCACTCGGCCAAACCAATTCGGGTGTCGAGTCGTAATAATCCACAATCCAATGGCGAAATATCTCCTTTACTTTAAAGCCAATGCTCTACAGCTCTCGTTGAATTCCTCTGCTTTAAAGTGTCTACTAATTTCATGAATATTGCTCCCAAGAATTTTGTACCGACTCAATAACGCGTATGCAATGTAACGTGTTTCGCACGCAATTCACAGCAACGCTATTAAGCAAGTGTACATACATACATGCGAGATGTGTGGAAAATGAAATTGTGGGCGAAGGATCCTTGTGGTGCTGGGTGGCAAGGCTCCTACGACGACTCGGATGTATGTACATACGCGGGCGAGGGGGAGGGTTTGGCTGCCAAAAGTCCAGTGGAAACCTTGGCTGGTACAAATTAGTAGGCTGGAAATGTAGGGGACCAATTTAGATAATCCTCGTCTCAATGAGGACTGAGCAATTTTGAGACAGGATTTGTGCATTCGAATTCAGACACCGAACATGACCAGTTTCCGGCTCTGGAATTTCTTTTCCTCGTTATTGTCCTGGGTCTGAGCTTTTTCTCGTATTTGTCGGAGGCAGCGGGTGAGTGGGATTGCGGACCCGTACCCACGCCACACACCATCCATACAACCAACCATTTGTTGGGAGGGTGAATTGCACTAAGAATTTCAATTGTAATCTCATCAAAGGTTAAATTAGCGAATCAGAGTGATTCATATGCTCTCCGTACAATTCAGCTCCACTCGTGCACAGCATTACTAAGAACTCGCTCATTTGCCATTTTGTTCAAATTTGTGATTCCGGGGGCATGTTTTGGCCTTATTAGATGTCCGACAACCATCCATCACATATTCCGCCAAAGCCCAGCACTACAACAATGTTGCCAACGCCACAACGGTTCCGAGTGTCCGCTGCAGACGACGACTTCCCAAATGAGAGCGAGAGAAAGCGCTTCAAGTGATGGTCCAGACTTATCATGAGCATTCTTCTTCCTCCGCCGCCGCCTACTCCTGGGCCTACAGACGTAGATAGGAGACACCATGTCCATCATCAAAATATTTACTGGCGAGTGAACGGAACAGATTCGAGACGTTAGGATTTCTAAAAGAATGGATGGAACGGAAGTGAGGATTCCGAAGGACGAGTGAGACGGCATGGGTGGAGCGGTGGTGGAGAAAGCAGCGTAAGTAAACCCAGCAGTGGTGGTGGTGGTAATGGTGATGTGTGAAAGCCGTGAGGGATGTTTGGAGCAAGACACGATTTGTGTAGTGGTGATTATGTATGTTGTGGGTGTGCGGATTGAGTCCGGATCAGCTCTTCATCTATTGTGCATAACACGGCCTCGTCCACCTCTACCTGCGTCGAAAACTAATGCACTCGATCCTCTAATTCATGGGGAGAAAAGTCCTTCTTTGGCCACGCCACCATCATCAAAATGGTCATGATGCTACCCCGTGTCATCAATCCCCGTGATGGCGGAGCATGCAGCAACGAAATAAAAATTTGTTGCTCGTTGTGTCATGTTATGTAACCACCAAATAACCAACGCCTATGCTAATTCCACTCGGCTCACTTGCTCAAATATTATTATTCGACTATTTGTCTATATGCCTTGAGCGGAATTCTCCAGGAGAATGAGGAAAACAAGTAGTTGCTTGATCATGGGGCCATGACCAATATTCTCGCCATGTGTGGAGCAGCTATATGATTGGAACGTGCTTACTCAAGTGCATGTCAGTATTATCATTTGGTGTAACTCAGAATTGGAAACGAGTAACGACGACGAGAGTTATACTCGCCAGACGTGCTAAATTGACAGAGTGACGATAAAAGTGTTTGATTGACCCGATGAGTTCTTACACGTTGACCAATATTGCTTTCTCTCGTAAATTGGTGGAAATGCTCCACCGCCGACACACTTGAGCCTATGCCTACATTTTTTCATTGCACTCCAATAAAATGCAACCTCTCCGCGTCTCGTTCTTTAGAGCTTTCCTGGGTTCCCACTTTCCGCTAACTAAGGAAACAGCACGGGCTGAGAAACCTCACCCAACCTTAAGTTTAGTACTTGCAAGAAATTTGAATCGGAAGTGTGCCAATTATGGGGTTCAGAATTTGCAAATGGGGTTTTAACAGGAGATATAAACTTACCCGTCGGAGTTTCATTGCCGTTTTCGTCGTCGGCGGTGGGGCCGGGAAGGCCATTAGTGTTCTTATTCCCCATCTTCAAATTGAGATTAGCATTGGAATTGGAGGAGTCTCCTGGCTTCTCGCTCGCAGTGGCACCACCCTCATCGTCAGGGTCCCCCGCCACTGGTCCTGCCTTCGTCAAGTGGGCTCCTGCCACCGTGGACGCTCCGCCACCACCGCCAGAAGTCCGGACGGTGTTCAGCAGAGCGATCACCAAGGACGGGAAGGAAGGCTTCGAGATTGAATGATTCGCATTATTATTAGATTTCCTCGTCAGTCGTGATGATGAGGCTGAAGGACTTTTATGATCCGATCCAACACTTTTCCTGCTCCCGGAGGAGGAGGACCCAGTGGTGGCAGTAACAGCAGCCGGGCCACCACCACCACCACTTGGAGCTGAAGAACTTGGCTGAGTAGCAGAAGCACACCCACCACTTATGGGAGTGGAAATCCGATTATTGTCTGTGGCACTGGTGGAACAAGAGCAGTCTCGTCGCCCGCAATTATTTGCACAATTCCGATTCGGATTATCTGGGTCAATATTTTCTTCAAGTCTCAACTCGAACGTGGATGGTGGTGATACTCCAGGTTGATGCTGCTGCTGCTTTTCCTGGTCTTCACTCATTCCAGTGACGACTTGGCGAAACTGGATTATGGATTATGGTTCGAGATGATGGTCAGGCTATAAAGTGGTGGTGGCGGCCATTGAAGCAGTCGTAATGATATCACAACCCTCGCTGGACCAAATTAGACTGATCCACTCTGATTTTTGGGGAGAAGACGAATTCCCAGGATGGACCAAACTTTCCAGCCCACGCACAAGTTTTTTCCACTCGGACCTGGAACACATTAATTAGAGTCCAATTACAGCCTCGCATAACTCGTCACATTTCCTTTTATTCAATATCAGGGAGAGAGCGGGCTTGCTGAAATGGTCAAATTTTCCGACGCTTTTATGCTCAGCCCGATCCTCAAACGATTTATTCCACAGTATAACTTATCTTAATGACGCAGAGCTCAAAGAAAATAAAAGTGAGACTCAAAAGTGCATAAAGAAATTTAATGTTTCGGAGGAGCGACAAAGACAGGAGCAAGGAGGCATTGTCATCTCGTTTCTCTGGGCCTTCCCTCACAGTGCATCACAATAGTTTGTTTTATGTTGGAACCTTCCATGTAGCAAGGAGGACATCAAGAGGACGAGGACGACGACGACTGGGAAGAAAAAGTGGTCGTCGTCGGAAGAAAGCAGCAGCCAAAAATTGTGCCGACTGGAAAAAACAAAGAGCAGGACAAGTGAAGAAATAGGAAACGAGGGAAATAAATGTAGTTTAGATAGTGTGTGCAATAAAAGCCATCCTATGCCTGCTCATTTTTTGCATTGGTAAGCCGTGACCAGGCACAAATCACGTAGAAGAATAAGTTCTATATCGCGTCCCTTCACAATTCCAGCCTCGAAATAAATGTGGACGAGGCAGGAGCCCCTTTGACTCCTTATGCAACATGGCTGTGCATACCACACAGGCTCTCGTACAACCCCGGGGGATAAGTTAAAACTCTGACCATGATTGTGATCCTCCAAGAAAATGTTAAGACCCACTTTGGACAAAGTTCTCCCTTCTGAGAACAACAAGGAGAAGCCCATTTTGAGGAAGAAAGCTGTGCGAGTAATAAGTAACCAACAAGCCTGCTCCGCCGTTGTCTCTCCCATTTCAAAGTTTCAACTCAAAGCGAGGAGCAGAAACAAAGAGACGACGGAGAACAAGGAGATCCGGTTATGCTCTCCTTTGAGGAGGAGAAAGTGTTATTAAAATCCGAGGAGCAAATAAAAATATCTCCTTCAATTCGCATTCTCCTCTCTCCATCCTCCCACATTCACAACCTCACTCCAAATTTGCACTTTATTAAAAATTATATCGCTATTTCAAAGAAAACAAACACAACCATTCCCCCAGTTCTCCCGTTCTCACCCAGAGAAAAAATTAATGTGGAAAATTCTACTAGAAAAAAAAATTATTAATTACAAAACCTTGATGTTTATGTAAATACTTATAAATAAGTCGAATACGTGCTATTTATATTACCACATGAATCTAAACATACAACGTCACGCTGTTTCTTGGAGTGGACGTGGAACATGTCATGGGCTGCGGTCTAAAAGTGGAATCGAGAGGGAAAAAACTGGAGCTACGGATAAATGTATGTTTATACGTGAAATGCTCTTTAGTCCCCTGAACGTAGCATGAGTAATGAAATGATGGCACGATGCACTGCATGCTCATAAACATCGGCGGAGAAAGTCTGTCGAAGGAGGTTGGCGACGGTCTTGGCTGGTGTGGTGTAAGTGTGTGCATGTGGGTTGTTAGGTAGCCTGCTCTCTGTGTTATGATGGGTTTTTGTTCAAAGATGACGATCATCATTGATTCCAGGATTGAGCCCGGATAAATTGATATGATGGCACGAGGCCAACCGCAAAAATTTAGGAGACATTTAACTACTCAATGAGACACAACAGAATGGAATAAAATATGGAAAAGTAAGCATATCGTATCTTCAACTGTCCAATTGGGCCCCACAAAAGGGAAATGGCTGAGTTAGTTGCTACATTTCATTGCTCTCTCTTAACAGAAAAAGGATATATATTCGCTTTTTATGGCAATTTGAGTTGCTTTCTATGAACACTTTTTCCAAGTATTATTATTACTTGCACAAATCTGCTTGGAACGAAACACACGCGATGCATCTGCTTGCATTAATACCAAACTAAACTAAACTAAACATTGTGGGAACGTGCACTGAACACAAGTCCTTTTAAAGGCCGAGTATATTTTGGAACCGTCCAAATTCAGAGAATAATTTGATAAGTGGAAAATGGAGTGGAATAATGAGCAAAATCTAAACCCAAATTCCTCCCAATTAAGTTGCCAAATATATGCAACCATGCATCTTCCACTGTGTCAGATTAGTTGAGAAGATTTCAGTGCATGGGTTTGGCTGGCTGTTGGGAAGAAAGTATCATATTTCCTCATATTCTGACTTGTTTCTTGTTTGAGACTTTCTTTTGGGGTGAACATCTTGAGAAAATCATATCTTTTCTCTCTCTCTCTGTGGATGTGGAAATGGGAGAAAAAATTGGAACACTAGTGCCAACTGCCATGTCAGCCACGCACTGATTTATTTTCTCTGATATTTCTGAAATTGTAAACGTCGCCAAGTTTATACGAAAGGATTTATGTATGATGCCTCATTTTTTATCTCCCTCCTTGTGCAATTATATTTTAAAATATCGGATAAATCTCGCCTTGTTTATGACTATTAGCAAAAGTTCATTTGTCCAAGTGCATACGGAAGTACGGGGTGAGGTGAAGGGGAGGAAAACCTGGTTATGCATAACTCTTAAACTCTGCGGGCGTATATTTATGTGTGAAAACACGAGGTCTTTTGGTTTCCAGATTGTTTCTTTTCATCGATAAATATAAATCTGAGTTACAAGTAAACTGCTGGTCGTCACCACGAAGGATGGCTGCTTTAACGTGCACCGCCGCCAAACCATTGACGCCACACGGGTTCCATTTCCGTGTTAATTCACGATACACACATTTCAGCGAGAGTAGCGCAATTTAGAGCAGCAGACGACTGGAGAAAGCTAATCCCATTTTGCTCTTAATCTGAAATAAGTGAAGTAAAACAAAAATGCACAAACCAACCACCACCTTCCAGCCCAAGTGAAAAGAACAAGTGAGAAATTGAGGAAAGCAAAAAGAAAAGCAAGGTGAAAGTTATCGTTATCGTCGTGTCCACAAATCCCGTGGCTTCCCAACCTCGTCCACCGCCCTCGTCGAAATCCAGCCTCAAAGTTGGTGAACGTCCACGGCCAACGCTCTTCGTTTCGTTTATTTCATTTTATTTTGCTGTTGGTGGAACGCACGCGAGCACTTGCACACGAATCGAGATGAGAATCACAAGGAGCTACTAATCTCCATTAGCACAGTCACATTCTCACAGTTCATACGTATAGCACACTATCGCTGCTCCTACAATTTAAGATATTTACAAACACACGCCTCGAAGGGAGATAGATGGATATGTTCGTATTAGCAGGCTCGTAATACCACTACAAGGCCTAATTCGCAGTCTGCTGCATGCTCACATATCTAGCGTACATATACGTACGAACGTATATACCAAGACGACGTGTGTACATGTGTATGTTCACTAGATTCTATTAATTAGCGAGATTGAAGTAGTGGATCTGAATGGGTGAGTGTGCATAATTTATGATGGAATGGTGACCCAGCAAGTATGAAGGAACACTGACATACTCTTAAATACGAGGTGACACGTATTATTCAATATTTACATTTGCAAAATTCACACAGCACGGACTGTACCGAGTGCAGAGATAAGGTCGTGGTGCTGATAAGGAAAGCAACTTCCAGTATTGGCCATCCAGCATTCATTGACGAATGGGAAATGATTCCATGCAAGTATCGTCGCTGTCGTCATCCTCGAATGAGTCAAATCGTGTGATGTCATGCGACGGGAATAGATTGGACACTTTTAAGCCTTTATTCACAACTGAAATAAAATTATTCTTAACGAGATAGTTTCGACTGCAGCCCTTCAACGTCGCTGATACAAATGCCGTGTCTGTTGCAACATTTATTTTAAAAAAGAACTATTATTTACTCGCATGTTTCCAAGCAGGTTATTTATTTTTATGCAAGAGAGAGGCCAGCGGTGGTGGTGGTGGGGCTTGGTTTGCTTGTGTAAGCAGAAAGGCGTCCTTCTCATGAGAGCATTAAATTACAGTTGGGGACATTTCCTAAATCAGTTCCCTCCCAAAAAGTAATTTCAAGAAATTGTATTCATCTCATAAGAATGCACAAGGCATTGCTGAGTACACATTTTGTTGACCTCCGTACGTACCCCGAGCGGGGCTTCCTTCACCAAAGGATGCATGTATGAGTGGCATTATTGTGGCGTATGCATAACGAAATCTCGGGATCGGGATGCAGAGCAAATTGTGAATTGTGGTGAATGGTGGGTGAGGAGCGAGAGGAAGTTTTAAAACAAGGCAACAATGTGTGGCGAGAGGAGGAAAGAACGGGAGGGTGGAGGATGTACATTTATTTGGTGGAGGAAGAGAATTTGTTGGCACAAAGTGGGTCATGGTCGTCGACGGAGAAGAGTGGAGGGAGAGACGACGTAATCGTATTGCATTGTTCTCCACATTGTGCAGACCAAACATCAGATGGGTCGTCGTCCACAGGAGCAAGTTAAGATCAAATCTAACGACTTTTTCATCTTTCTTGTATCTGTTCTCTGCTACAATTCCCATCATTTTGGCAGATGTTCTCTCCTTACTAATACATACATCTTATTCCCAAATTCCACTTTCGATTGGCAATACATACTCGAGAGAAAATGTGTCTAGTCCAACTACAGAAGCAGGCATTACTTTGATGGATTTTAATCTAAAACAAGACTTGCTCAAACTTGATATCTGTACGAAATGAGCCACGTTGCATTTATTTATTGCGGAAAGAAAGTTAGAATTGTACAATAACGTTGGATCATCCTGAGAGAGTTTTCGATGCATTTGAGACCAGTCGAGTTCCTGTCGGCTGTCCCAGCCACGCATATGAATACAACTCACGAATTTCCTTCAGGATTGAATGCATCTTATTGGTCGTGATAATGCAGGGAGGTGAATTAAAATTAATGAAGCAATCAATTTATGCGCACTAACTACCAGCCACGCTGTAGGATGAGGTGCCTAGGCTGGTGCTGACCTAAAACCAAAGGGTAGGCTGCGACGACGACGACGACTACCGTAAACAGATGACTTGGGATCAAGAGGGCGAACTCGCTGCAGTTAGAAAGTCATACGAAATGCAAACGTACTGATTTGTTTCGGCCATTAAGTCTAATTTACTACTCGTAAGTAAACTGGCAGTGAAATCCTTGTTCTCTTCTTCCCTTTATCCAAAGGTACGAACCAGGCGAACCCATTAACCGGCAAAAACAACACCCCTCCACGTTATCCACCTTTCTCCCGGGTTAAACACACGGCAAGTACCGTTATGGCTTATTCATCAACCTCGTGGTTCCCCGTACATGCTCCAAGCTCTTTTTTAAGTTAGATTGTTAGGAGGCTAAAATGAGGAAGACTCGACGTTAGCACGAGAAGAGCATTGGTTTTATGGTGGCATCACCTCGGACTGGTGGAGACGCGTGTGAGCCGAGTGTTCGGACCTTGGGCCTAAGTCTTAGATTTGGATTCATGGGATTAGACAAAAGCCAATACTAACGCGGCTCTTTGCTACTACATATAATAAAATTTAGTCTGCTCCACTCTGGCAAGAATTTCCACCATTCCCAAAAATTCAGAGTAATTTGGACCTTGGTGGAGCGAGTGTATATTTGCATTTGAATGTGGACTCGACACAGAGTGGGAGAAGTAGTAGTAGATCATCCCCGATGTGCTTATTAACTCGGTCGGAGGAGGAGGAGTTCCTCCTTATTTCTGCTACCCCCAGCATTTCCAAATTGTAAATGGCAAATGTGTCATGTCATATTTTATGACCAGACCCAGGGAAAATTGCAAGCATCAAATTGCTGGCTGAAACTGAGAGAGAAGTGTGCTGTAGGAAGTACGAGTGTGTAGTAGGTGGTGGTGGTAGGTGGTGGGGCCGTAAAAGTGAAACAGAAGTATCGTCCCTGGTTGAAAAGAGTTATTAGCAAAACTGCGAGGGGAGTTTGGCCCATTTCCTCCATCCGAGGAGTTATGAATGTCCTCAGGATAAAACAAATTTTATGGGATTTTCAGCCAATATTACTACTTACACTCGAGGAGGATGCGAGGAATGGCTTGTAATTTACTCGACGGGAAAAGCTATTGTTGCAACTCGAAATGAACAACACTGCTACACAACAGTTCGCTCCTTGGGTTTGCCAGCTTGTAAATTGCTTATTTGCTTAAAAATTCGAACACTAAAAAACACCACATTTTCATATTCTGCATACCAGGCACATCTTTACAGCAGTGCACAAGCAAGAAAGTGAGCAAATTAATATAAATGCTGAAACTGGAAAATTACTCGTGTACAGCAGATCATCAAGTCGGCTGCCAGAAAGGTCTCGGTTGGTCTGAGCCACACAGTGCAACATACGCACAACAAATGTATTTGCATACGTAAAAAGAATTACTCTCGTAGCAGCCAAAGGTTTTTATGTTCAGTTGGCTTTCTCAGACTTGCATTTATGTTTTTGCATGTTCTCCTTGTAAACCTTTTCACAAAGAGTTCATGAAACAGCTCGAGATCGGATTCTAGCAATTTTCGAAGCATTCCGTATTTGGTATACACCTCACCACCTCTTGTGCAAGGGGCAGAATATGGAATGAGCCTTTTTCCATTTGTCCGTGTGAGCTTGCATGCATGTACATTCCAGTAAAATTTATTTTCATTTCTTCCAATTAATTGGACAGTTAATTGGGCTACATATCGTTACTCTTAAACTTTGACATTTTAGCAGAAAGTAAAATCATTACACCCTCCTCGTCGTTCGTAATGATGGAAACGAACCAAAAACTGGGAGCTTAGTGCTTTCTCTCCTCCTCCATCGTCGGGAGGTGATAGTTTTAGTTGAGTTTTAGGAATTGCTTGGTAAATTGATTCGACCTCGGGTGACTTTCGCACTCAGGTCACGTGCCCACTTGCCTTGATGTCTCTCAACATCCATCGGCCAAAGGGTTCCGAAATTCTGGAGTAAGAGGAGTGTGGCAGTCGTCACGCAAAACAATTGCACTTTCCGCACTCCTCAAGTCACTTAACTCTTAATACGACCGGCGCCTCCCGTCGGTTTGACTTCATATTGTCGACGTGCAGCGTTGGACACATCATGTCAAAGAAACATGAGCTGGTCACTTGTGTACTGTGAAAACCCATATATATTCTGAGACACTACTTCCAGGGGCCTCCCACCACTCACAAGAGTCAACTCTTCAGCATTATTGTTACCCAAGAAATTGTGTAACATGTGAGAACTTCATACATAGTTTAGCACGGAAAGGAGGACACAAAGTCCAATCCACAGAAATCATTGTATCTTTCATGACCAAGCATTTCCGCCATTGTAATCAACTTGATGCTAATGAGTTGACCCCACAGAGCTCTACATGCATACGGACACAGGGAATCGAGGGAGAGGAATATATGTGGAGGGCATCGGTGAGGAAAGTGTACGATTTGTGGAAATTGTAAGAGCACGTCGCGCATAAGGCAGTGTCTCACGTTTCTCATATCATCGTTCCACTGCTATTCCGAAGGGATTTATGGGTGACATCATAAGACCGGTACGCTGGTGCCTTCCTGTACGAATGTATGTACCAGTCCATGTTCTATGGTCACCGTCCTTTTAAAAGGCCAGGAAGACAAAGCTCGTCGTTTTACTGCTGCGTTCTCAGCCTGTCCCACTTAAATTCGCATTCCATTCTCCCAAAACTAAAAATCGTGAGCGAGGAGAAGGGAATTTGCACCCTGCTGCACAATCAAGCATTTCGGTGGTGGGGTGATTTGCTCCAACAATTCCCATGCCGAATAAGCCATGATAAGCGAAGGACTTGAACGAGCTGCTTGATTCAAAGGGCACGCGGAGAGATTGTGAGAGATTGTGTTTTGTACGATCCCCCTGGAAAATGCATGTCTGATTATTGGGTGAGACCTGGAATGGGAGTGGATAAAAGTGGAGTGGATTTCCGCTTCAAGTCGACCTTCTCCATTTCTTCCAAAGGAAAATCCAACCAAGCCCGAAATCAAAGCACAAATCATCGGTCAGCAAAAATTTGAAGTGAAAATTCCTCCGAGGTTCTCCCCTAAATAACTCCCTGAATACCAATATTGGCACCAGATACGCCAATACGAACACTTTCATACGTACATGCCTCCACTGCTGGCACTGGGCATCCAAGAATCCTCCGGCATCGAGGAATACATCACCTCCTTAAAAAGTCCACCCACAACCAAACTCGCCACTATTTGGCTCAATTTTGTGGTGGTAAATCCACACTAACCATGCAGCACTATCGATAGTCCTCATTATTCTCTCCTCCTATTCTTCTCATGGCATAATAATGACGGGGATAAAAAGCCAATTGAGATGTCTCAAAGTAACCATCGATTACGCTCAGTTGCAAATTTATTTCAGCCATTAACGAGATTCAAATACAGTCAAATGTTAGAGGTTGACCATCATTTAGAAATAACGTTGTATAAATAAATGCCCCTCACTCTTTAC